ATGATGAGTCAAAGGACAGCACTGAACACCCACAGCCTCTTCAGTGTGAGGTTGACCCCCAGCCCTAGAGGTGACCCACACGGCACGGCAGACCTCTCCTGGCCTGCCAGCTGCTCCCCTCAGCAGTGTACTGCAGTCCATCTGCCTGTTCTGCCCTCCACTCTGTCTCTGGTGACTCCTCTCGCCTCCCCTGCACCTCTGGCCTACATCCCAGTTCTGTATGCAAAAATAAATAAATCTTTAAAAAAAAAAGTTACTCCTTCTCTTGCATGTAGAAGGCCTGGCTACAAGGACCAAGTCACTTTGTTGCTTTTTGAAAACCCAGACTTATTTGGCATCTACATTCAAGGTTTGTCCATATTAGAACCTAGGTTTGTCTCAGATCTTACCCTCCTACTACTTCCCTAGCCCAATCCAGCCACCCCTTGCTGGGATGACTGCAACCCCACCTGCCTGTCTCCCGACTTAAGATACTGTATACATGCAGCTAGGAGGATCTCTCAAACACCCACATCGGAGCACATTGCTCCTCTGCTTAAGATACCCTCCAATGGTTCCCCTGTACTCTCAGGATAAAGTTCTTTTGCCAGCCATAACTTTCCACTTCTCCCAATATCAGCCCTAGTCCCTGGGATGTCCCTTGTCTCAGTGCCTTTGCTCCTACAGACTCTACACAAAATGCCCTCCGTGCTCCTCCTAACTCTACAAGCCTTACTGATATCTCTCTATAGCCCTTCCTTTGGGCCCCCTGCGCTAAACACTGCTCCTATCAGGATTTCCTCTTCCTAGAGTCTAGAACTGCAGCTGTCTCCTACTTGAAATGCCAAATGGCAGTCATTCATAAGCATTGGGCATAGATAGAGGTTAAGCCAAGGCTGCCAGTATTTGTGTGTATGTGGGTGAGGGGTTGGGAGTAAGGGATGAGGCCCAGAGAGCTCTGGGGAGAGGGCGTCACAGCCGAGTCCTGTGAGGACCATTCTCCTGGTCCCAATGATGCCGATTCACTATAGGACCATAGTTAAACTGCCTCTACTGCCCCAACTGGAAAATAGGCTTGACCAGTGGTTCTCACTCTGGGCTGCTATTAGAATCGCCTGGGGAGCTTAGAAAATTGATTCCTAGGGGGACCTCCTTAGTGGCACAGGGAGACACAGAGCTATCAAGCTATGAACAGTCACTGCAGCACAGGAGTTCGATCCCCATCTGGCCATGGAGGTGACCCACATGGCGCAACAGACCTCTCTTGTCTCGCCCGCTACTTCCTTCAGCAGTGATATTTCAGTAGATCTACCTATTCTGCTCCCCACAGTCTCTGGTGAATCCTCTCACCCCCTGCACATCTGGCCTGTACCCCAGTTCTTGTATACATAAACAAATATATCGTAAAAAAAAAAGAAAATTGATTCCTAGGTTCTAACACCAAGATTCTGGAGCTCTGAAGTGGAGTCAAATGCATTTATTTTTTCAAAGGCAACATGGATTCTACTGTTTGCCCAGTTTGGACAACCCAGAACCAGATGTTGTCTAAGGGCCTTTCCAGCTCCAATTCTATCGCTTAGGGTCCTGGAGGATGCCCCAAGCACCAAATCAGAAGTCAACCCCTGTTGCTACCTCCTTGATCCACTCAGTCCTTCCACTATTCACCACAAGATTTTAACATCAAGTGTAACTCTTGATGAGCTAGGGTGAGGTCCTAAGCTACCTCCTACCAAGCCTCTGGAAGGATATTCTAGCCCTTGACCTTATATATTGCACCCCAAATCTCTGTGAACAAACCTAATCCTGCAACTTCTTTTTGACTCTCTTAAAGCCTTCTCTGGCATCTTGCTGTGTTATCTCAGTGACCCAATAAGGTCTCAGGTTTTATCCACCTAGAAAATAAGCATAAAAACAAATGTCCCTCCCTCCACCAGATAGGGTAACTGAAAGAGAAGGTACCTGAAGGTTCTTTACATGCATAAGATATAATTTTTCTTCAAAAAAGATGTGGTTGTGTGGAAAGCCCCGCCTGTTTCCTTTCCAAGACATTGCCCTGGAATCTCAGTGTTCTGGCATGGGTCAATGGGTCCTCAGGATAGTGATTCAGTAAAGGCCTCAAGAAGTCTGAGGCCTTTATTGAAGCTAAGGTCTCCTTACTGCTGGGCAATGCGCACACATGTGCTCCTGTGTGTGTAAACACACACACACACACACACACACACACACATACACACCACCTTTCCACCCCTGGCAACCACCAACTCTGCCCTTTTGAGTCAATTATAGGCAAGTCCGGTGGAGAGAGATGCCAGTCACTCAGCCTACACCTGGGCTGGCTGGGCAGTGGGGGAGGAGCACTCTCACATCCTATGCTGCTGTGAATCACATGGCCCGGCACCACCTTGCCAGAGCCTAAGTCTTCAGAAGGCTTTCTCTTATTATTTAAACAAAAATAAAAGTATTTCTTTCTGTAAGATTTGCAACCAGTATCCCTAGGTGAGGAAATTGAGGCTCAGAGAAAGGAAGCCACTCACCCAAGGTCACACAGAGAGTCAGTCAGGAATGGTTGGATGGGCACTTCCCTAGTACACTTCTTGTTCCTAATTCTCATCTTAGAATAATAATAATAATAAAAAGACACACCTACTTCAGAGGAATGAACCTCAGTAGGGAAAGAATCCTAACAACTTTTTTGGAGAGAAAGAGAGAGGTTCAGAAAAGGGAACTGTGATTTGTAATTTGGAAGTATTGGTGGAATAGAACACCAACTCAGAGTTATCATCAGAGGCCAGAGACCAGGGGTCTAAATGCTGCCCAGCAGCTGTCTCCTATACCAAGAGTATTTTGAGGGCAAGGGGAGTTTGCTGTCCTTCTCTTAGATAATAGTTAATGAGGGCCTACTATGTGTTCCCTTAGTATCTTTCCAGGTATTTGTCCAACAAGGATTTGTTGCGGACCTACTGTGTACCACACAAGATACTAGGAATGCAATGAGCAAAATAGATGCAATCCCCTTGCCCTCACAGGGTTCACATACCACTGGAGGAAGGCAAGGCAGTAAACAAAGAGTCACATACAGTAAGACATTTCAGGCCGTACTAAGTGCTGTGATGGAAGTACACTGACAACTATGATGGACTCAAAAGTAGCCCTATGGAAAGTGGTCAAAGAAGGTCTTTTGGAGGAGGGGATATCTGCACTGAGACTTGAAACAAACAGGGTAGAGAGCAGAAAGAACTGCCAGGTAGAGGGAAAAGCAAATGCAAAGGCCCTGAGGTGGAAGTGCTTGTGGCATGTTTTAGGATCTGAAAGAAGGCACTACAGTCAAGAGGGTGAGTAGCCTGCTCCATACTGTTTGCCGAAGGGAGACTGGAAAGCCAGCAGGAGCAACATGTAGGGCAGGTTATTAAAGGCCTGTTGTCAGCGGGATATCTCTAGCCCACACAAAGGGAATGGTGCCCTTGAAAATACTCAGATTCTGGGCCCTCCCTGGTGGCGCAACAGGTAAGGACGCAGCACCGCAAGCTAGCTGCAGCAGCTGCAGTGCGAGTTCAATCCCCAACCCCGGAGGTGATCCACATGGGGCAGCAGACCTCTCCTGACCCGCCTGCTGCTCCCCTCAGCAGTGTACTTGTCAGTTGGCCTGCTCTGCTCCCTACTATGTCTCTGCTGATCCTCTTACTACCCCTGCACCTCTGGCTTGTACCCTAGTTCTGTATGCATAAATAAATAAATCTTTAAAGAAAAAAGAAAGAAAATACTCGGTTTCTATGACTAGCCCAAGGTCACAGCGGCAGCAAGGGGCAAACTTGCCTTTGATTTATGCTTCAATACTGATACTTGGTTCTGGGCCATAGTCCCAAAGACGAGTGGAGCCCAGGATGTGAGCCCTGGAGGACTGCAGAGTTTCAACAGCTCCATCAGTATTACCCACTGGAAGGCAAGAACAAATGTACTCTGCTCTTCCTTATGGTTCCTGGACTCAGGTCCACATGGAGATGTTCCATGTGGAAGGCTGTGTTAGACTCCTCACTAAGATTTGTGCAGCGCACAGGTCTCTCCAGGCAGTGGTCTGTGGCCCCAATATGATTTAGAGGTAGCTGCTCTACCTCTGCAAATTGAAGTACAAGCATGTGATTTCTCCTCACAACCTTGCAGCCCTGAAACTCTCCAGCTGTTTCAGCTGGCTTCTTGCCCCCCTCCTGACCTTCCTTAGGTCTCCTTACCTATCAGCCCCTCCAGTCAGACACGTAAGCCACTTCTTCCACGTTTCTCTCTCATCACCTTCTACTCCCTCCTTCCCTTGTCCTCCCACCACACACACCTGGCAAAACACCAACCTTGGATCAATCTACCATCCCTCACTTTTTTCTCTCCCCCCCCCTTTTACTCCAGAGCTGTTGAACAGCACAGGAGAAAATCACATAAACAGAAGGCTTGGCATTACTTTCATGGTCTCTAACCTCAGTTGGGGGGAGCGGAAAGACCACAGACTTTGGACTCAAACAGATCTGGTTTTGAATCCTAGGGCCACACTAGCTGCATGACCTTGGGTAAGTTACTAGTCTGAGCCTCAGTTTCCTACCTCACAAAATGGGGCTGATGATACTTACTGCATAGGAAACTCCTCAAGATAAAATAATAACCCAAGAAAAGCAGCCACTAGTGTCTGGCACAATATAGGCACTTGGCAAGTGGGAGACTCCTTTTCTTCTGTTCCCTCAAATAAACCCCCCCCCAGCTGTCTTGCATTTCTGCCCCTTTTCTTGGCATACTCCCTCTCCCATTAGCCTCAACAGACAGAAGAGAAGGAGGCCAGAAGGAGTACAGGGAACAGAGGTTGAAAGAAGTGGACGGAAGGTTGAATGAAGAACTAGGGGGGTGGGAGGGTTGAGCAGACCTGAAGGGCCTGGATGAGTGGCCGGCCCCGAGATGGGGTTGAGGGCTAGAGAACAAGAATATGCTCCCAGGCCCAGGCCCAGGCCCTTGGCTCGGGCTCCCGTGCTCTCTCGATCACTCACCAAGCCGGGGCTGCGAGCCCTCCAGGTGGTAGGAGAAGCGCAGGGCCCGGTGGTGCTGTGGACTGGGGCCGCAGGGGAAGACCCGGGGGCCTGGAGCGGTGCCAGGACTGGCGTCCGGGAGTCCAACAAATTGGGAATCCAGGGGCCCGCCGAGAGCCGAGCCTGAGCCCCTCGGCTCCGGCAGTCCGGGCTCCAAGGCTCCAGGGTCCGAGTCGGCAGAGGCCGGTGGAAGGGAGCCAGGGAGGGTCGCGGCCGGGTGTTCGGGCTCCGAAGGCCCGATGCCCCCCGGGGCGCGGTGGCCGTGCATGGTCCGGGCCTGGGCGCGGGGTCCGGGCTCCCCGCTTGGCTGGGGCGGAGGCGCCGGCGGAGGAGGCCCGGCGCCCGGCTGAGCAGCGGCCTCAGGCTCGGGGGGCGGGGCTGCGGACTCAGCCCCACTGCAGAGCCTGGAGCCCCCAGCCCGGGTCCGGGCCAGCAGTTGTGGCAACGGTGGCAGTACCAGCAGCAGCCGCGGCCACCGCCGCTGCCGTGCCAGGCATTGCCGGCCCGGGCCCCGCCTGGGGAGTGGGCTCGGCGAGGCCGGGGGCCCGCTGGGGAGCGCTGTTTACGCGGCAGCGACTGGATGATGGTCGAGGGGCTGCGCTCCGTGTGGTCTCTCCGGTCGGCGGCGAGAACGTTCGTAGCCCAGGGCCAGGAGTCGGTCTGTACGGAGTGCGGGGGTGGGGAGGGTCTCTTCTTTCTCCCCAAATGGGAATCGATCTGGGCTCTCCTGGCTGGTCGGAAAGGTTCTTCCTCCCGCCGCAGTGGAGGCTGGGGGTGGGGGGGCGGAGGGAGAGGATGGGAGGGGAGGCGAGGGAGGGAGGAGAGGACGGCAGTGGCGGGGGCCGTGCGTTTGCGCCGCGCGCTCGGACTGCGGGGTTCGCACCCAACCAATCGCTCAGGACGTTGCTCCAGCTGCGGGGGCAAAGGAACAGCCGAGACCGGGCAGCACCGTTCTTCCCAGTCTCGGCCTGGGTCTCGGCAGCGGCAGGCGGGAAGAAGCCAGAGGAAGGGGGGTGGGGAGGCGGGAGCCGTAGCTGAGGCAGCCTTAGCCAAAGCGGCGCTGGGACCCGGCTACCCGGCCCCGCCCCCTAGCCTGGGATTTGTGCCTGGCCACGCCCCCTCAGCCGGGCCCGCCTCACTTCTTGCAGCTACAGCCTCCTTTCTGCTGCTTAAAAAATTTCCCCCAGCCTGCTTTCCCCATCCCTCCCTGGTACCCCACACACGTGTCTCTCAGGCTCCTCCCTTCCCCCCAGATCTGCCTTTCTATCCCGTATCAGGTCTTCTCCCCCACTTCAGTCTCTTTTCCAGAAGCCTTTCCAAAGTTCCAGAGTTTCCCTAGGGTTTGCTCACGGAGGACTTGTCGTTGATACTCTTCGGTCTGCTCAGACGAGACCTCATGGCCCTTTCCTTTTCCATTCTCTTGCCAATGGCATTTGTGCCTGACAACATCCCATCCTTGCAACAACCCCACTGTCCACCTATTCCAGGCCAGCTCCCAGATGGCTAAACAGTACTGAAGAGAACTATTCAATTTAACAGATTTGAGGCACTGTATGCTAATCATTCCAGCTTCTATTAGACATTGGTGCTGACCCACAACTCTACTATGCGTGTCAGTCCGTGGACAGTTCTCTTCTCCCTCCCCCCATTCTTCACAGCGGCCATTTCCAACCTTTTCACTTCTCAGACAGACTTCCAATTTTTCCATCTGGCCCCTAACCCTCAGGGAATAACTCCCACTTCTTTACAGACAAGCACCAAGAAAGAATGCTTGTCTTCTTCCTACCAAACTTACAGAGTTCCTCCCTTGCTCTTTCCCATCAACATCTAAACATATTCAGGTCTCTTCCATCTAAAAACAAAAACAATTACCAAAAAGTTTCCCTCTCCAACCACCTCCCTCATTTCTCCTTTCTATAAACATCTCCAAAGAGTCGCCTACACGTAACTGTCTTAATTTTCCCACTTCCCACTACAGTTGCCTCCACAAATTGCCTGATACTGCTTTCATCAAGATCTGCCAAAACACCAAATCCAATAGAATCTTTTCAGAAATTATTCCACTGGACTTCTTAGTAGCATTTGTCACTGGTGAACCTCCTCCCTCCCCCTAAACCACTTCCATGACACTGAACTCTTATTTTTCTACTACTTCCTTGGTAATTCCTTTCTACTTGTATGGGTTCTTCTTCTGCCAATCCAATCCTTAAATGCTGGTATTCTTTAGAGCTCTCTTGGCTTCCCTATGCTCTTTCCTTCCATCATTACATTTACTCCCATGGCTTCAATTACCATCTCTTCGGTGATGACTCACAAATTGAGACCACAAGTCCAGATATTTCTGACCCCTGCATTCAACTAGTGACTAAGCAGCTTTAACTGAATACTCCAGAGGACTTAAAACCTCAGCTTCTCCACAAATCTAGGCTTCCTCCTTCTAACTTGTTTGGCCTTTTTTCTTTACCTAATAACCTCGGTCAAAGCAGAAGCCTGAGCTGCACCAACTCTTCTCTCACCTCTACCCCTAGGCAATCACCAAGTCCCATCTTTATATTACCTCCTGAATATCTCTCAAATTTAATTATGTAGTCTCCTCATTTCCACTGACCCTTTCCTAGTCTAGGCCAGCAGCATTTTTAACCTGTATTACTGTCGCAGCTTCCCTATTTAAGTTCTGTCTCTGAAATCTATTCTTTATGTTGTAGATAGTGTGATCTCTTAAAAAGGTAAACCAAATTATATCATTGTCATGTTTAGAACATTTCAATGAGTCCCTGCTGGCTCAAACAGGAACTTCCCTAACAGGGAAGATGAACCTGGTCTGACTCCTGCCAGCCTTTCTAGACTCCACACTTAAGAAAAAGCTGAACCCTGTAGACCATTCCTTAGTGTCTTTAGCTTGTTCGCTTTGCATATGCTGTTGCTTTTACAGGAAACTCTACATCAGCCGTGTTCCACTTCATTTGTTCTTTAGAGCTCAGCTCATTTGATGAGTATCCTGTGAGCACTTACTTTGGGCCAGGTACCAGAGCCCTGGTAAACAAAGGGCTCTCAGAATTTACCCTCTGGTCCTGGAGAGAGAGAATGTGAAGTAAACAAACATATAATTACATATAAACACACAATCACAAATTATGATAAGTCTTTAAAAGGCTATATAATAGGGTGATAAGAGAATAACAGGGTGGGGGCAATTTAGCCTGGGGAGTTAGGCAAGCCCTGATATTTAAACTGAGACTTGCAGGAGTGGGAGTTAGCAGATGATGAGTGGAGGCAAAAGTGTTCCAGGCACAAGACAGCAAGTGGGAAGTCCTGGGGAGAAAGTTAACATGGTATATGTAGGAACCACAGGAAGGACAGTATTGCTGAAGGCCAGTGTTGCTGAAGCACACATGAACTGAGGGCAAGATGGGTGGGATATGAGGTGTAAGAGGTAGGCAGGAGTCAAGGCCATGATACAGAGGATGGATCTTATTCTATGAGCAATTGAAAGGTATTGAAGCAGTACTATTTAAATATGAATCAAACTACAGAAGATACTGAAATGAATTTCAGGAAAGAATAGAAAATATCAAAATGTATCACAGGGTAATGTAGGAAAGGTAAGTACGTCTCATGAAACTTTTATTTCAGTTTGATATGCTATTTTATGAGGAAATAGTTTCTATTTTAGTAGATAATTCACACACACCCCCAATTGCTGAAATAACATGACACTGAAAGATTTTAAATTTGGGATTGACTGAGTTCATATTTAAGATATGATTACATTGGCTGCTGTGGATTCAATTGCAGATGGACAAAGTCAAAGATGATGATGAGTGAAGCTGTGGAGATGGAGAGAGGTGTGCATAGGTTTAAGAGATACTTAGAATTGAAAGGGCTTGGAGTGGTGGCTTGCCTTGGAATGGAGAGGGAGGATAAACCAAGGATGCCTTCCAGGGCTTTGATGTGGGCTGTTACAGAGAGTCATCGCAATAAAAACAGGAGGTTCCATGTTCCCTGCCCCACCTAATGAAATGTGGAACTGAGCTTTGAGGAGAATCTAGAGGAGACTTGGAGGAGGCACTTGGAAGAGAGAGAGAGAGAGATGTGAAGAATTTCCACTTGTTTCTCAGCTTTGAATATTACCAGGGACCTGGGTGAAAAGGAAGGAGACACATTGAGTCTTGGAAGAGATGTGAGTTAGAAATCCATGGGGAGGCTGACAATGACAACATTTATGTTGATTTTTACTTTGATTTTGCTCTTTTCATCCCAGACTTGCCTGCCCCCCCTTCTGCCCCTTTCCTGTGGTTTCCTGCCAGAAGGTGCTTATGACTTATGACTTGAGCTTATGAATGTGCTTAAGATTTATGGCAAGTTTTTGGGCCTCAAGGGCATTTACCCACAAGGGGATGGATAACTTTAAGTGTTTTATTGAGGAAGTATTATCTTTTCTCACTATGTATACTATTCTTATTGAAGTTCTTTCCCACTAAAAGAATGCTTTGTCTTTATGTGGTGGATGACATAACTGCTTTAGAGCATGTAAGTTTGGGGACCCAGGGGTACCTGGGTCTGCACACTAACAGTGTCAGAACATTTTCAATTCTTCATTGAGATGAGGAAGAAAGAGGAATAGGTTTTCAGGGGGAAGACAAAGAGTTCTGTCCTAGGAAAGTAAAAAAGTTAAGCAGGTAGTGGTATATATATACTCCTTTCCCCTTCCCCAGGGGGAAAGGTTTCAAATATAAATGGGAATTGATAATATAGAGATGACATTAAAAGGTATGAGAGGTCAGTCTGAAGCAGAATAAAGATAAAGTAAGAGGATCCCATGACTGCACTCTAAGGAAGCTTTAAGCTCTCTGATCTAGCTAAGCAGCTTCCTTTATTAGATGGAAGAAGGTCCAGAAGTTAAGTAGATATACTTACCCTGACTTAGCAGTCCTCCATTACTTTATGAGCACTTTCACTGGAGCAGTGTGACGCAGTAGTCAAACACGTAGGTCTCGGAATTAGGCAGACTGGACTTTTTTTTTTGTACCTTGGGTGCATCCTAATCTTTGGTCTAGGTTGGGCCTGTACTTCTGTGTTTTGTACCACCTTGGACAAGTTATTTATCACTCTGAGTCTCAATTTCCCCATCTGTATACTGGGAATGATTATAGTACCTACTATCACATCAGAGTTGTGAGGGTTTGATGATAGAACCCATGCAAATGCATGCAAAGTCTCAGATAACTAATATTTAATAAATGATAGCCCTCTACCTGATTGTGGGTGTAGGATATAGTAGTGAATAACAACGGCCAGGGCCCTACCATGTTCATGGGTACCAATAGTCCAGTGCCAGCCCTGACACATCCAAGAAACTTGTGAGTGGTTGTTCAATCAAAATGATGTCATCCTGGGGCCTCCCAGGATTAAATCTCAGCACTATGAAACTATCCACAGTCACTACAGCACAAATTGGATCCCTGGCCAGGGAGGTGACCCACATAGCACAGCAGACCTCTAGTGTCTCGCCTGCTGCTCCCTTCAGCAATGTATTTCAGGCAATCCACCTGTTCTGCTCCCCACTCTGTCTCTCGTGAATCCTCTCACCCTGAACCTCTGTTCTTATATGCATGCATAAGTAAATCTTTTAAAAATATAATAGAAACCCAAAATGATATCCTCTATTTCTCTTTCTTATTCCCCTTCACTCCCACAGTTCACCATCATTATTATTACCTCA